ACTGCTTTGTTTCGCTTAATGTGCCTTATAATCCCGTGCACCTTATGGTCCGAAAAATACGTACTGCACACTGCAGTTTAATGTTGCAAAGCACCTCTTTTTAACTTCAGTGGATATTATACATGGTTATGCTCAGGATATGTCAGCCCATTTCTACTGGAAATGCCTTTTGGTTAAACTTTCAGCAAGGAATTTGCATTTGCACTGTTAATTTTTATAAAGCTTTAATGTACATAAAAACCAGCTTCTTGTTTAAGTGAAAATAAATGGAAGGTTGTCTTTTTGCGCTAGTAATGTTGTGGAGTTGTATTTTGTCTCGCATCAATTATATCGTCGTTATATCGTTATCGCAAATTTTCAAATATATATCGTGATAAATATTTTTGGCCATATCGCCCTGCTCTACTTGCTAGCAGACAATATTACACACTGTTAGTGTACATTAGAGGTTATTTAATAGAAATGTTACAGTTTTGATCATTTTTAAAAACTAAAATGGAATGAAACTTAATATTGAAATGCACAAAGTAAATAAGTAATGTCTTTCAAGTATACTCCAGTCAGGTTGGGTTATGTTTGCAGGGCACCATGGAGAGGCTATTAGGAAAGGGGGGGGAGAAAGAGTCCCTGGCTGAATCTGCATTCTCAGAACAGATCGCAGCACCACATGGCAACGATAAATGTAAAAGACAACCGCTCGCCTCGGGTGTACTAAACAGACTGTGCAGGATATTGTCAGGCCCAAAAAGTGCAAATGGTGGTGATGAACACTGCTCTGGGACACCATAAAGTAGATTTAGGACTGTAGACCGAAAGTTTTGCGGATGACGGCACAAACTTATAAATTGAAGGTCAGACTTTGTCAAATTTGCTTTCCTAACAGTTTTTATATTGTTTTTCTTGTGACTTGCTGTTTACAGGTAACAGGTATGAGTAATCATTCATTATAATTATATTTATTTGGAATACAAATTTGTTTGTTTAATTGGTAAAAACAGATGTTGATTAAAACCTGTGAAAAAGCAGCCACTGTGGATACTCCCTTGAAAATTCACCAAAATCATGTTTTTCATGAAATAAAATCACCTTAATCTCTGTTTATTTCCTTTTATTTCCACTGGTAGTTTCTGACTGGATAGTTCTGAAAAACATCTCTAAAATAATTAGTTTTGTTATGATGGTTAGTCCACATTTTGCAGTTTTGTCTCGTAGATGGTCCTCATCTGATTGCATTTGTTATATATAATAAATGACTGCAGACCATATGAGATTGTATACGTTGTCCTCAATGTGGTAGAGCAGCAATGTTTCAAGGTCTCTGTAAGAGTCTGAATAACAGTAAAATCTCTGGTGTGTTGAAATGGCAGCTTGGTGTTGTAAAGAGAAAATTGATCTTTTTTCACTTGTTTTGCCTCTTTCAGAAGACCAAGTTCAGAAGTTACATTTCTCATGTTAATGTTTCGATCACTTAACTACTGCACATGTTGCAGGGTCTCTACTTCTGTGTGCCAAGCTTGGTGGTGCATCACACTGATCCTTTTTAACACTGGGAAATGTGTTATGTCAGCTAAGCTGGAAAAATGGGATTTGTTATGCTTTTGAATGGTGGATGCTCATATATTATATTATTAAATATATTAAGCTAATCTTTCAAGTAATGCACTCAGCATATGTGCAGTATTTTCTACTCTCATCTGCTTCAGTCTATCAGACAAGTTGTGAGGCACTAATATGACCTGGTACATGTTGGGCAAATGGAAGCATGTAAAATGCAAACACATCCGGTGACTAAAGAAGCAGCAGTGGCTCCACCGTTATCTGCACAGCTGATGTTTTTTGAGGGGGGGCACTAGGTGTCCAGTTGGCTGAGTCTGAATGTAGCCGTTCAGTACTTCCTCCTCAGAATTTGTTTATGGATTATCTGGGTTTTTCCTGCAGAGAGGAAGTTTTGCCTTTTTCCCCCCCAAGAGGCTTGAACCAGAGCTAAAGGACAGTTGTCAGCATTGGAGTTTGAGTTATTCAAGCATGAGCATCTTTCTTCTCAAATGATCAGAACCAAAAACAAGGTGTTAAAATGCAGAAAAACAGATAAAATAAAAACCTTTTTAAGCCGGGTTCATTTACTCAAATAAATTAACTATTATGTAAGTGACCAGAATTACAAACAAATACCAAAGCATCGTTTAAAGTAGCCCAGCCCTTCATTGTCTTCATAGCCCAGTTATGAACATTTTTTTTTTTTTTGTGCAGTCACGTAAAAACAAATGCACTTGTGGTAGCATGTTATCACAGATTTGGTGCATTTATTCCTGACAAACTGTGGTCACCTTCCCGAAGCCCATCTAAGCTAGGATAAATGTGATTATACAACGGTAACGGACTTATTAGGGATTTTTTTGGCAACAGACAAAGTTCAGTTGCTTTGAATAACGGACCAGTTACTGACTCATTCACTTACTTTATCAACCTTCTCTGGGCATTAATACTTCCCCTCCCCCCCCAAACTACTCTTGTATGTCTGACAGCCGTGGGGAAAACGATAAACACACCCTCTCTCCGGAGAGCTGTTGTACGAGGCCAGAAGCACGCTGCCTTGTTGACAAAATGCCTGCCAGTGGCTTGGTGCCCGGCTCTGGGCCAAAGGCTCTGCAGCTCAGACTCTTCAGACAAACAGCCCGCCAACAAACCAGTTAGTCAGTCCTGCAGCCTGTCTGCCTGCCTTCCTGCTTTCCGGCTTATTCCCTCAGCAAGCTTGCAATCTTGGCAGCAGTAGGCTTCCATCTCTTATTTACCTGCCATGAGGCAAAAAATGTTGTTAGCCTCCATTTCTGCTCTCAAGATAATGATTGGATCGTTTAGCTAAAACTTGTACTTTTAGAGCTAAATTGTTATTTCTTGTTTTTATTAGGATCCAAACTACATATGTGTTTTATATGTTTGAATTTTTGTTTTTGGTTAAATTTAGTTTGAATTAATTTCCAGTGCGAGTTTCATTGTTTATTTTCATTTTGATTTGTGCAGAGCGTATTTCTCTAAGTCCATATTACAATAAAGGCTTGTAGTAGCAGTCAAGTTTGAGAAAACAAAAGCACCAAAACAAATCCTTTGTGAGGAGTTGTCTTCAGTTGTTTTCACATAATGTTTGGCTAGTGATTTAAAGACACACAGGTAATAATAATCATTTAAACTTATTTGGTGACCTGTTTTTTCCTGATGCATTTCACTTCACTACTAACTGTTGCCAATGTTTTTAAACTGGCTTGCATTTTGAATGTATGTAAAACATATTCATCACTGAATAAGCTGTACTCATTCAGTGGAGCTGACATCAAACTAAAAATAAACAGGAAATGTCTTTAGTCTTTGATCAACTTTTCCAACAAAGTAAGCATGAGCAGGCACTGATGGTTATGTTGATACTGAGCTGTGTACAAGACTGACAGTTAGCTGTGTTCAAGAAGTGTTTGTCATTTTTGGAGCTTGTGCATGTCTGGTTTCCTCCTGGAACTCCGTTTGCAGGGTTACAAGTTCTTTACAGTCACCCCAGCTTTTCTAGATATCGCCTGATAGAAGTGCGTTTTAGAATTAAACCAGTTCATTTGGATGTTGGTCGAACTTTAATCTGTCAGTTCCCAAGTACAAAGACTGTGCCAGTAGCTGGAGTTGGCTTACTCTCGTGCATAACCTGCTAGCCCAAACCATATCACACTGAGAATTTTCAGTAATGCCTGCATGCAAGAGAATATTACTGCAGTTGTCCAAATTCATGTGTATTTTTAATGTGGTCTTGGGGTGTCTTAATTACAGAAAAAAATTGCAATTATTTTGGTCTGGATACTTTTATTTAAGCAGATTTCCTTGGCCTTACTTTCCCCTCCATTTGAATCATAAGGGTGAATTCAAATTAACAGAATCTCCAAGTTTGGAAAGTTTGTTTTGGACTTGAGGCAAAAGTAAAAGGACGTGTTTAAAGGGAAAACAAGACAATTATTGCAAGTGTTATGGCACAGTGATAGTTTTGATTATCTTGTTTTTGCTATTCCCATGAAGACGAAATGTAATTTCAATTAAAATTTGATTGCACAGCTCTGTGTGTAAAGGATATCACATTTTATTTTAAGTAATACACGCACTGGTTTGTTGTTCAATATTTTTCGTGCTTAGCTTTGAATGAGGTATACAAATAAGTATTTATGGAGGGATCTGTTGGTTAAAATATGCTTGAATGAGATGATCGACTGAAGCGGTTTCCCTTGTATTTGACAATCCCTGGACAAGCAAGGTCGGGTTATAATTATGCATATGAGAGTATTACGTGACCATACTATCGCTTGACCCATACAATGTTGATATTTTTAAAATAGTCTAATTTCTATGAACAACTTCTGCATGTAAATTCTGTAGGCATTAGATGAGATGTTTAGTTCTTTCCATTTGAGTCTGGTACTGGCCATCACATTAGGAGTTTGCAAACAGAAGCAGAAATTCTTGCCTGAATATCTGCTGGCTATATCAGAAGTTTTAAAGTTAGATTAAGTATCACAGAAGCTGAAGTCTGATTAGACGCAATCCACTGGGTATGGATTTCTATTCTATAGTTAATTTAATACTGTGTGTTTGCCTAGCAAGGTACCAGCAAATTAACTCGTTGCCAAATCTGGCACAAAGCATTCTTTCTGCTGACGTCATGAGTTTTGTTTTTGTTTTTTAAATTAACCTAATATTTTATTTTATCGTTGTCAAAGCATTCTAAGAATGAAATTTTGCAGTTAAAACAAAAAACAAACCTTTAAAATGGCCTTAAACCCAACTCGACATGTCTGTCCTTCAGCTTGGCGATCATATCGGTTGATAGTTGTTTTTAACAATGTTTACAAAGCATCAGCATTGATATTCTGTCTCTTGCCTTCATATCAGCCTGCTGATTTCAAGAAAAGTACTTTGCTAAGTTTTGTTTTGAAGAGGACATCATCCTCACCTCGTCTCCGTGTTTCTTTTAGGAACACCATCTCCAGCGGGCCATCTCGGCACAGCAGGTCTATGGCGAGAAGCGGGACAACATGGTCATCCCAGTACCGGAGGCGGAGAGCAACATCACCTATTACGACTCCCTCTACCCTGGAGATTTCAAGATGCCAAAGCAGCTAATTCACATACAGCGTAAGTGGGCTTCTCTAATGGAAAGTTTGTGATGCAGAAAGCAGAGAAAATGAGTGTGATGTAGCAGATTAGGGGCCCCAGTTGTTTTCATTAGCCTATAATGGCGTTCCCTTCATTTATTTCAAATGTGTTAAATGACACGTGGGGGCTTGCTGAGCAAAGATTATACGCTGCAATGAGTTGAACACTTCACATCAGTGTTACTTGCTTTTCTAATTTGAAAATCGTCACTCATGTTATTAGATTTACTTTCCCCTCAGCTCTGTAGCCCTAGAGTTTTTCCAAGAAGCAAGGGGGGAAAGGTGACCTGAACTGACATTTAAATATATCCTGTATTGAAAGCAAGCCACTTAATAAAGTAGAAAGTTGGCTGCTACTTAGAGTGTAAAATCCCAGCCAGTTTAGGTGATTGAGATCTTTTATCATTTTTATTGGCATTAAGCTTTGTTAGCTTGAAGTTGTCATGTTTTTCTATATAACTTGAGATTGCCTGTTCCAGTAGTGAAATTGGAGGAAATTATTTTGCTACATGGCTTCGTTTAGTAACCATGGCTGTGTCACAAGTGGTTTGCTGTGATTGTTTCTCAAAAGAAAAGCAATTTGCTGTACCTGAAACATACAATGTTATCAAATGACATGTTTTGTCTAGTTAGAGAAAACCTTGAAATTAGTCTGAGGCTTGGATGGGTTGAAACAAGTAGAAAACCCAGTTTGCATCAGTCTTAGTCTTGAAAGTTTAGTGTTTATACAAAAGTATCTAAAATTCTACAAAAGCAGACCTGCCATTTTCCATGCATATAAAAACCTTTTATATATTTAAGTCAGTGGTGTGAAAAGATGCTGAATGTTAAAAATGTTCAAATTAATGGCCCTGGCTGGTGAAAGTGAATTTGCCTTTTTACTCTTCAATAACCATCTAGCCCATCTATTGTGCTTAATTGGCATCTCAAGATGAAAGTGAATTGGTGTAATTAAATCTGAAGTGAGGGTTTCATTTTAAAGCTGAAACTGCAAATACTTTGATCTACACATTTTGTTCTGCAGGTATAAGTTCAGTTAGCATAGATGTTTTAATTTGATTTTGGCAGATGCGCCTGCATAAATGCTGCTGGCTGTGAGGTCTCAGGCAAAATAAATGTGGTTATTTGAACGTCTGAGATGAGACTCCTTGGCTTTAAACAAACTACAAGAATGCAAATTCGCTTCAGATTCTGTTGTTAATGAACTCAAAATGACTCACTTTTTTTTTTTTTTTTGTATTCATTTTCTTTGTGAAGCTGTGGTGCATTTGTGGCCCTCCTGAGAAGCCCAGAATTAGATCAGTAAGATCAAGCTAGGGTGTCAACCATGTGGCTTAGCCTGCTAAAGGATTCAGTCCAGACCACTTCAAGGCTTACCAGTAACATCAATAATCGTTTTTCCAGTAACATCCCTGGTAAGATGTTTGAATTGCTACGTACTTACCTGGGAAGTTACTTTTCGTGTGTGTGTGTGTCCGTGTGTGTGTGTCCGTGCGTGTGTGTGTCCGTGCGTGTGTGTGTGTGTGTGTGTGTGTGTGTGTGTGTGTCCGTCCGTCCGTCCGTCCGGTGACTCAAACAGGCTAACAATAAACAGACTTCCATGTTTCAATGCAGCTAGCCAAACAAGGAAGAACCACTTACTGCTGTTCTGTAATGGCACAAGATTGTGCTTAACATGTTTAAAAACCTTTAAGCATTTCTTAAAAGCTTTACAGACAATGTTAAATCAGTGTCTGTTTTTAGGAGCAGGGATCCATGGTGTAACTTAGACTTTATACATGCAGTGTTTTAATGTCCACTTTAAGTGGTACACGGGCATCTTTCTGCTTTGGCTCTCAATTGGTCAGGGCGTTGCTTCGATGCAGGTTTTCGAAGCAGTTTTATGGCCGCCTCGGATTAAAAATGGTTTACTGTCATAAACGCACATTTTGGACAAAAGCAATGTTTATGGTTACTTAAGGTCATTGGTTGATGCCTGCCTCCTGTACATCAGGGCGTTTCAGATGCCACATGGCTTTAGGGTTGCATCCTCGTAGTGCTTTCTGAATGGAAACTGCTTCGGTGATACTGATGTTTAAATGGCATATAACAGATTGGCCTAAAAATTTGAGGTGGGAAAAGGGAGCAGTAGGCGTAACGCACTGTGTCAACACTCTACAACAAACAGCCAGATAATCTTTACTGTTCACTGGTTCCACTCGGTCTCCAGACAGCCCTTCCTTCCAGTTGTCTGAAATGGCAAATCTGGTGTAATTAAGCCTGATAATCATCCAGTGCATCCCCAGCCTTCATGTCCAACAGCTGCTGAACACTCATTTATTCTCGTTAACGCTTTAATTTTGGATTATATATTTTATGCAGCAGGTGTTTTGTTGCTGCTTGGGCCATAATAATAATTGGTTATATTCCCCTGTACAAAACTTTTTTTTTTTTTTTTTTTCTTCTTCTTCTCAGCATTAGAATAAACAGTAAGAATTGTTTGGAATCCAAACAGATGCTGGACCAAATGAGTGGAATGAGTCCATGTTACCTGCATCTTGTCTGTATGTTTTAGTGAGACCAAAGCAAGCTTGTGTGAACTTGTCCAGAAACAATCTAAATGCTTTGTATCGTTCCTTGTAGTTAAATAAAAATAAACGTATTTATTTATTTGTTGCCTCCCTCATGCAGCTTTCAGCTTGGACACAGAGCAGCCAGATTACGACCTGGACTCAGATGATGAGGCCTTTGTCAACAAGCTGAAAAAGAAGATGGAGATCAGCTACCTGCAGTTTGAGGAAATGATTGACCGGCTGGAGAAAGGCAGTGGACAGCAGGTTAGAAGTGTAAAAAATGTTTTGCAGACAAATTCATATCAGGTTTGTTCCAAAGTGAGATTCACCTGTTAAAGAACTTTTTAAGACTGCATTAGTTACTAACACTGACTTGAAACCACTGATGGCAGGCAGTGTCAGATTTGTCACCCTCACTGCTCTCTAACGTGATTGTATTTATCTCTTTGTTGCCCTCGCAGGCTGTGAGTCTTCCTGAGGCCAAACTGCTGCTGAAAGAGGATGATGAGCTCATTAAAGAGGTCTTTGACTACTGGAGCCGCAAGAGGAAAAACAGCAAAGCCAACTCCCTCATCCCCACCGTCAAGCAGGAGAAACGGGACGGCTCAAGCACCAGTGACCCTTACGTGGCCTTCCGACGACGCACTGAGAAGATGCAAACTAGGAAGGTCGGTGCTCTCAATTACTGTTGCTAATTTTTAGTTCTGCATTTCTTCAGTCCTATGCAATCAGTGTTGCTTTTGGGGATTGTTTTTATTTCTTATCCCTGTTTTTTGTAAATTTCGCTTCACATCTTAGAACCGTAAAAACGACGAGGCCTCGTACGAGAAGATGCTGAAGCTTCGCAGAGATCTCAGCCGAGCCGTCACAATCCTGGAAATGATCAAGAGGAGGGAGAAGAGCAAGCGAGAGCTGCTGCACCTCACATTGGAGATTTTTGAGAAGAGGTAAGCCAGCCTCTAAGTTGCACCCACAGGACGTTGCTACATAAGTTAAAGCACCTTGATGGCAGATTCTTATTCACTTGTTACTACTTTTTTTTTTTTTTTGTGGACTTGTGCCAAATTAAACGACTTTGAAATGCCTCACCTTTAGATTTATGAAGTTATCCTCTCCTTTTCATCCAGAAATGTCATGTCAGACTTTGGTGGTGAGGTTATGGCAGAAGTTCTGGCTGAAAGGGCACTGGTGAGGCCACAAATCATCCCCCTGGTCCCACTCACCAACCAGTACCGACACCAGGACCATATGGACCTCAAGGACTACAAGTCCAAGGTGAGCCCGTAGGAAAAAATTTGTCTTACAAAAAAGACAAAGGGGGGGAAAAAAAACATCTGATGAATTAAAGTTGCTTATATCCAGAATTGAAGGGTCAGTGGCATTGTTGCAAGTCGTGTTTTTAAACCACTGACCTGCTTAAAATGCAACCAAGAAGGAAAAGTGGAAATGGTGGTATGAAAAGTTAATATAATGAATCTTTTAAGAGGAACACTGCGCAAGATAAAAGGCTGCCCTTGGGCTGCGGTCTCTAAAGGTGTACTTTAAAGTGCCTCTGCAGTGTCATTAAGTTTGGCCGCTCTCCCTCTTGTAGCCTGAGAAGACAGAAGTTCCCCGGCAGAAAAGGAAGTATGAGAAGAAGCCAAAGGTGCTGCCACCATCATCAGGCACACCCCACCATACAGGTCCGGTTGTCTTCAACGCCAAGGACCTAAACCAGTACGACTTCCCCAGCTCGGATGATGAGCCCTTTTCCCAGGTACCTGCACGCTTAAGCAAATGCGCTCATTCATGTAAAGCCAAGCATGTTACGCTGATCAAGCTTGGGACTTTTTCCTCAGAGGAATTCTTTGCACAACATTTTTTTTTTCCTGTAGTTTGACTTTTTGCATGGTGCCACTGGGTTATTTCCAGTTTGCATGGTTTTAAAATAGTAGTATTATTATTATTATTTTTTTTATTTTATTTTACAAAGTGGCAGCAGCTGTTATGCTGCGATAAGGTTCATTAGCTACAAAGCCAAAAGAACAGGTAAGGTTTTTACACAGCAGGAAGAATGGGGGGGGGGGCACCTGTCTGTATTAGGCTTTTATTTTATTTTTTTTCCTTTTTCTTCCTCTACCTGAAAACTGATCAGATACCAGAAAATATGTTTTTCTGGCTGCATATTGTTTGGTGCTTAATAGAAAACATCGATAGGGAGTTGTGTAGGTACAGAACCCAAAGGATGCTAAAGAGGGCTATAATTTAAATCAAAGATTTATATACTTGAAAATTATTTTTAGGATCTAAACTCAAACTGAAAGATTTGAATCACTGCCAGGCAATTGCTTCACTGTAGAACCTGCAGGGTCACCGGGGGCTGGAGCCTATTGCTGCTGTCATAGGCACAGCCAGACTCATTTTATAATCATTGAAAGGGGAGGAAAAAATATCAGGGTAAACCTGCATAAAAGCTGTTTCAGTACTCAGTTCAGCTTGAGTGAATCTGGGCTTTAATTTAAAAAACAGAAGTCCTTAGGGAATAAAACTTGAAAGGATTCTCATTGGCTGCCTGCAGTTCCCTCTGTTTCCAGATCAGTGTCTCTCACCTGGTCCATTTTGGGTAGTGTGTGACAGTTTGCAGCCAGTTTTGTCTTTCTGCTTGCCCTTTGGCTACTGTGTAGGCCTCCTGAGGGAGTGGAGGTGTGCTGCCGCCTGGGCCCTCATCATACACGTCTGCACTCGCAGACATGCTGTGACAGAGAAAGTCAAACTCCAAGTCGGGTCCTTGCTTTGTACTAGATGACCTCGTTCTCCTCCGCCTTTATTTTTTCCATTTGTTTTTCATTTTAAAGTTTGAGGAAGTACTCGGTGAAAAGATGTTACATTTTGCCCCAATCTATTGAGTTTGGGGCAAAATGAGACTACAGAAATAATCCTCCACTCTCAGAAAATTGATTTATTCACTGTTTAAAAAAAAAACTGTTTTGTTTTTTTGTTTTTGGAGGTTTTTTGAATAGTGTAAAAAGACATCATCTGTCTTCTGTTGCTTAATTATGAAGTACAACACATACTGGAAACTGTTCCCTCTTGTCTCTGCAGCCACTTGGCTGTGCACTACGGCCTCTTCTTGTCTCCACTACCGCTGCTAAACTCTGCCCTTTGTCTTCAACAATCTTCTCAAAATTGCCAAGCCATGTTTTATTTTTTAAAATAAAAAAAAAAAATTAACAAAGGCTTCTGGCTTCAGTACTATAACTTCTGCTCTTCAGCTGACCATACGCTGACCTCTGACGTCTCTCATCCACAGCTGCACTCAGGCTCATCAGAAGCAGAGGAGGAGAACGACCCAGATGGTGCCTATGCCTTTCGCAGGAAGGCAGGCTGCCAGTACTATGCTGTAAGGAACATTACCTTTTGTTCCTTAGAATACCTTAGTTGTCTGTAAGGAATAATGAAAATTAGTATTACATGTTTAAGGAAACCCTTACTATGTTGTAAACATAACTTGAACAATCCTATCCAGTACTGAAGTCAATATATTGGGGCATGTAGTTCACTGATGGGATTGCAGATTGATTCTAAACTGCACAGGTCAGATGTATTGAACCCAGAGACCTGCAAGAACGAGTGGAAAAGGTGAACTTAAGTGTCCTGTCTGTCTTCGTAGGCTCGTCAAGATCGGGTGGGTAGCTGGCCGTGGTGTGGACAATGGGAGGGTGGTTTGGCAGAAGCTCGCTTTCGCTACAGTCTCACCACAGTCACCATGCCACGACGATGCCTGGGCATGGCTCGACGGCGCGTGGGACGAGGCGGCAGGTGAGTTCACTTACTGCAAAGTGCTGGCATTTGAATCCAGCTTTACATTCTGTGCTCGTCTGTCTCATCTGTGTAGATATCTACAAAGCAAAATCAGCTAAACGTATCACTTTTAGTTGTTAAACCCTTTTCTCCCTCTTTTTCTCTCAGGGTGTTGCTGGACAGAGCATACACAGACTTTGACAACATTTTCCATGGACTGGATCCAGACATGCTTGACCTGCCTGTTCCTCAATCTCCTCCTCCTCCTTCTCCTCCTCCTGCAACTACTTCACGCGCACCGGCCACCGACAAGTTTGCCAGTACCTCAGAAACAAATACCTCGGAAAGAAGTTCCTCCTTCAGTTCCTCTCTTTCCCCATCCTCCCCCACTTCCACGGACCTCAGTCAGATACTGTTGAATATAAAGTCGTGCCGATGGAGGCACTTTAGACCACGGACACTACCACTACATGAGCTGGACAATGCCCACCCTCTTTTCAGGAGGCTGAGCCGAAGCCTGAAGCGCCCACTCTCGGCCTCCACCACCGGAGGGCAACCCTTTGGCTCCCAACGTCCAGGGAGGGTTGTCCCTGCACCCACACCCGTTGCTGGTAGGTGGCTTATCTGACTGTAGACAGACACTGTTGTGTTCTCTTTGGGCTGTGTTGGTTTCATAACTTTATACCCATGGAGACGGTAAGATACCAGCTAGTTAGTGTTAGATATTGTTAGCTATATAGTGGTTTGTTTGTAATTGGCAGTTTTTCATCAGGCAGTATAAAGATGGCTCTCGGTCTGGAAAGTAAAGCAAAGGTGAAATGTCCTTTTAATCCCTCTGTGGTTTCAAGAATTCCACTTGTATAAAACTCTCAGCTGCTCGAGCTCAGGATGCAATTTTTCTCCCATATTTTTATTTATTGTGGCGGGTTTTGCTGTCAGGGCTGGGCTAGGTATATGTCAGGGCGAAAAGGAAGCAAAGCCAGACTCGATAAGCTCCTCAGTAGTTTTGGCATGTCAGTGCTTGAACTAGCTCTCATCCTATTGCATATTCAGGATAGCATGGTCCTCAAGTTGAGAGCGGAACAAAGACTGTCTTCCAATTAGGGCTGCCACGATTAGTCGACTAGTCACGATTACGTCGACTATCAAAATCGTCGACGACTGATTTAATAGTCGACGCGTCGTTTGAAGCTTTGTAAGATCACAAAAGACGCAGGAATAAGCAGTAGGATTTAAGAGTGTAATAACGGACTGAAACAGAAGATGGCAGCACTGCATGTACAAGGATGCCAGCTGCTGTTAAACCACGAAGAAGAAGAAGCTGTGTCCCAGAATTCATAGCGCGGCCCAGCTCAGTTTCCAACGATGGCGGCAGCTAGTTAGTTTTAATACTACTCTTATTATTCTTTCTGGGTCACAAAATAAACGTTTAACATGTTTTCAGGCGAGAATGTAGCTGTGTAAACCTCAAATATCTGCTCAGTTTATCAAGACGCCACATATTTTCAAAAGCGCTCCGACGTTTTCAGAGACGTCTGTTACCCACTAGCTCGATAGCTAACCGGGGGCAAGGCTCACTAGAGCCGTGAGAACACCGGACTCCCGGCAAATCGTTTTCAAACCCACCGCCGTCTTTTGCTACTCAGGTTAAACATGATATATGAGTCACTTAGATAACTTAAAAATGTTATTGTTTGGCTTTTTTTTAGTATTTTATTTGTTCCTGAGTAAATCGGTTTGGCTGAGATTAAAGTTCTAGTTTTTACACAGCTGAATAAACATCAAGCAGACAGCTGATTATTAGAAGTGTGAGATGCTCGAGAATATACACCGGTGTCCTGTTATATTTTAGATAGCAAGGAGTTTATTAAACTTCACCGAAACAATCTGCAAACTTCATTAAAATTTAATAAACTATCATCTTGTCTTTATTTTTAGTTAGCACATACCGTAAACACTTAAAGCTGTAAGCTAATGATAGTTATATAAGAGCAGATGCTGCTGGTGCAATAAGCTGTTGTTTTACGTCCAATGGATGATGATCTGATTAGTCGACTAATCGCAAAAATAATCGGTGACTAGTCGACTATCAAAATAATCGTTTGTGGCAGCCCTACTTCCAATTTGCAATCCAAAGCAATGGAGTTGGGAGTAGGCCAGCAGGAAGGTTCTCGTTACTAATGACTAAACATTTAAAGTAAGAGCACTTTCAGTGGTATGACAGTCATGGATGCCGTTCGCTTGGAGAGTTTGAAAAAGTAACGGTGATAAAGTGAGTCGCCAGCTGGCTTGTTCAGGACACATGTCCAAGTGTGGTTAATTTTTAATCGAATGTTTGCAGCTTTTAATTTCCTAGATTTTCATCAGAATTCCTTGTTTTGTGGCTGTGCTTCAATAGCAAGAATTTCTATATATTTTATTTTTTTTTGTTTATTTAGAACAGTTGTTGCTTTGGGGGTAACACTGTATGAATACAATCTACCTTTCATTCCTTATGGTGTCAGTTAAAGCAGGATTTCATAAATGAATTCATGACATGCATGGATTTGACGAAGAGACGAAATGCCACAGGTCCCCGGTGGTTTTACTGTGAGGGCAGTCAGGCGGCGGGTGTCTTAATATTGCTGCAACTTGTTTTGATGTGCATGAAAAAACAAGCTGCTTATTGATTTTTCCAGAAAAGGTTCAGTGAGAATCTGAAAGACTGATATAATTAACACGGATCTTTCAAGAAACTCTACTAATATGTATTGTGTATGAGCAAATGTGACAGCTGCACTTGTTGTTTAAGTAGTTGATTTTTGATCAAATTACACGGTGTTAGAGTTCAAGAAATAAAAATGACATGTGCTCCAGATGGAGGTAATGCCACAGGACGAGCTGTGACTTGGAGATGTACGCAGATTGTGGATCTTATGAAACTGAGAAGTGAAAAGCACACAGGGAATGGATACATCAATAATGCACTGATGCACATAATGCCTTTAAAACACGAGATGAGGACTTTTCAGTTCAAACACTAATGAAGAACTACTTATGGCCATGTTATCTACAGGTTAAAAAAAACTTTGATTCAAATACTAGGGTGGATGAAATATCCACAAAAACATGTTCAGGTTTTCTTTGGCTCTACAACACCTAAAATGTCAGATATGACTGGTTTCATGAAGGAGTTTGACATTGACTCAGGCTTTCTATTTCAGAAACTGCACGTTTGCTTAGAGGCATATTTTACTCTTCACCTTAAAACGGAACGATTTCCCCCTGGTGTATTTAATTTGCAATGCCAATCCTATTGATACCATTAATATCTAACTTAATCGGTTTAAATCTATTAATCAGCTGTCCTGTAGCCGTAGATATGGATATCACTTCAGATTAAATACTGACTTGAGTTTTGCCACTAATAACATCCTATAAATAGACTAATTTGATCCAATGCAAATGGGCTTGGCAGCTAATTAGGACCAAGTATGAAAACATATTCATGCATTTATTGGATGCACATTTTATGCTGTTGTGCCTGGCAGGGCTTTATTTGCTGGCATTCATGACATATGGCTCAACTGATACTTTTGTTTCTGTAGGGATTTAGCCCGGTTGAGAGAGCCACCTGTGACATTAAAAACTCCGTCTCTAAAGTTGTTAACTGTATAATCTTGCTTTGTAGTAAACCTCAGTTGTCAGGCAGGAAATCTGAGAATATATTTTCTGGAGTACCCTGGGTTTACCTGAATATGGCCAAAACGATTTCTTTTCCTACCACATATACTCAAAACTGAAAGAATCAAAGCTGGAATGTTTTATTGTAGTACAAAAGCCACCTGGAGAGGAAATGGATGTACTCATTACCAAACATTGGTCTGACTTTTCATTAGAATGCATTGCATCATTAAAAACTCACTGGTGCCCAAAAAGTGTTAAAAATAATTCAGGAAACCATGTAGTGGTTTTGCTTTGTTCATAGTGAATTGGTTTCTGGTTTGGTCATTCATTTATTCATGAGCACAGTTTGCAGTAAGGTCTGCAGCATAACAGTAAAACCCAAGACTGAAGATGCTCCTTCGTGACTGAAGTCTTTGGCCTTTGTTGTACTCACTGTTGTTTGCTTCCCTGCTGACTTATCAAACGAGGCATATTGAGTGGGTGTGAGTTGACAGAGTTGTTGTCTGTGTGTTGCTGTTTGATTCAGACTGTTGGAGCAGCTTACTTTTCTTTCCCAAATATGGTTTTTATTCATCCAAAAGCAGTTGAAAACAAATATTTGACCAACTTTCTATCTGGCAATACACTAGGCACAATGTGTCATGGACAGTGTATCTGAAAGGCTCCGTATGCATCATGTGGTGCGTGTCTTGACCTGGGTTTAAGGTTTAATGCCAACCTGCCACCAATTGGCTCAAATATTCTTTGTGTCAAAAGATCTGTCTGTTTTATGATTGTGAATTTGTAACACTGTTCTTGTTTCTCTCAGCTTTCACAGTTGAACAGTACCAGCAGCATCAGGAGCAGCTGTCCCTGATGCACAAACAGCAGCTGGAGCAAGTCCAGCAACAGCAAGCCAACAGCGCCACCACTGCCAACAGCACACAGGTCAGCGTGCAGATCAACTGTACAGCAGCAGACAGTGATCTGAATTTATATATTTATATAATATACTTTTTGATTGATCCCCCCGTAATCTTCAAATCATGTAAACTTGTTACTCTTGGTCTCCTAGCAGACCCTGGCAAATACATTGGACCAGGCCAGTGCTCAGTTTGCCGCCTCGGCCCTCGTGACCGCCGACCAACTGCTGGCTCTGAAAACCAAGGAGGAGCTAGGACCAGGAGTCAATGGCGTCCTCTCCCCCTCAGGTATAACGGCTTCCCACACAACCACTGGTTTGCCCAATAGCCTCTTAGCTTTGAAGGCTCATGTTGTAATCACTATTGTCGAATTTAACAAAGGTATATTGGTATTGATGATCCCAAAATTGTTTACTTATCTATTCTAATTCTAGTTATATGTTGAAATTAAAACCAAATTGATTAATTTTTTTCATTTATTTTACAACAGCACTATTAAAATGAAAAGTCCACTTTACCAAATTGTTACAGTGACAGTGAAGTCAAGACAAAGCAAACAAAGGGACAAAAGTAATCATAGTACTAACGCCCTCAATACTAAACACAAAAGAGCAGATGGCAGCACAATGAAAGTTCAACAAAACCTGCACCAGCAGCACCCCAACGACTGATGCCGCTTCACGGAGGAGTGTTTGCTAGATAACCAAGAAAAGTGACAAAAGGGAATTTAGATTTTCATTAATCTGGAGATGGAAGCGGGGCACCAAGGTGTCCTTCACAGATCAAACTCCTGCAACCTGAAGTCTGATAATCAGTGACTTTTTCTTTGAATACTGATTTGGTGAAAACCTCCTGCTTGTACATTTTCTTCTGCCACACAGCAGATTAAAAACTTTTCCTTGTCAAAGATTTTTAAATTAAAGTTTCTGTTAAGTTAGGCTTTGAAACCTGTGTGCACATCTACAGTACCTCATTTTTTAAGGATTATGATTCACACTTTGAAGGGAGGGGAAAAAGCTGCTTTGAAACTTTGTGTACTCAACTTCAAATTGCTGTGCAAATTCAGTGCTTCAAATTCAGAACAGCAGCAGGTTTAAAAAAACAAAACGAAAATTCAGGTGATAATTAAAACTTCTTCTCCAAATCCTGTTTATTCCAACACCACCCCCCACTCCACCCACTTCAGGTGTCTACAAGGGCTTGCACCTCTCGAGCACAGCGTCCCCGTCCCCTGCCACCCCGGCTCCTCCCACTGCTACAACGACACCTGCTTCGCTCCACCCCTGTACCACCACCACCAGCTCCACGTCTGCTACCAGTAACAACAATGGCACCACTCACCCTGCCAACACAACTACCACTAACACCACCACTCAGGTCCTGCTGGGAAATAACAACAACCTACGGCTGAGTGTTCCCGCCACCAAGCGCATCCCCACACCCCGGACACTGAGCACCACCATGTCTACATCCGCCTTAAAGCTCGCCCACGCAGCAGCCGCCAACTGTCAGAAACCCAAGGTCACTACAGCCTCGGCCTCGCCGCTGGACATAGTGCCCAGGTAAGGAAAACTGAAAACACTCTAGGGGTGAAGTGATTTTTCAAACAGAAGGCCGTACCTAGCTGAATAGGACACGGGAAAACGTCAACATTACTCCTTTTAATTCATTACCTTTTACTCAAAGCAGCCATGTCCAACATGGAACACTCTTGAATGTGTATGTTATGAACCTACTGAGTTACCAGCAGAGTTGGCAGCTCTCAAAGTTTACATGTTCTTGTGAGCTCAGTTTGTAGTTTAGCTGTCCAGCTTCCACATTTTCTAGTCATTCTGCTCTGTGACAAACGGTTTGTCTGCTTGAGATATATTCCAGGGATGACATGTTAGACCAAAAAAGAAGAGACTTTACTTTTGTATATGAAGCATAGGACTGCTTGCTAAAAGGTTTGCCACCTGTGCCATCTTTTCATGTGTCTGATGAAAATCTGTCCAAAACCAATGTGAGAGCAGCTGTGCAAGATGTTGTCACAAAATTTATGGATGTGCGTAGTTAAGATAAAAAACATAGATTGGATGCGTACTGAGATGTTTATGACTGAGCTCAGGACATTACTTCCCTGTCAATGTTTACCTTATAGATCCAACCTGAAAATGTCTTTTGCGGCACCTTTCACCTACATCTTACTCAAGAATAACGTGTCTAGTTTGTAGAAACATGAGTAAAGATATTGTTTGGCCTTAAAGCAGGTTTGTTGTGCTTAATTTTAAGACAACTGAAGTAACAGGTTTATGCTAGCCTGTCTGTGCTAACAGTTTCCATTTTTGCCCTCAGGGAGAATCATGAACAAGACAAGCCAGCACTGAACAGTCTAACGGACAACACAGTGGCCATGGAGGTTACGTAGCCTCTCATACACTGCTCTGAGGAAACGTGACTCCATTGGGTTTTTTTTGTTTTTGTGTTTTGTTTTGTTTTTTTTGTTTTTTTTAAGGTGCTATGCATCATTCGTTAGTCATGAATGCAAGTGGTGGCGGACTGAGCACGGCAAGGCTGGGTTTCCATAGCAACAGTTTGGGACTTAATTGCAATGCTCGTCTCGTACAATTCCCCCCCATTTGTTACTGTTAATAGGAGATCTCTGTAAATTCTTAATATGGCAATTATATGTACAGTACTGCATATTTGTAATACCCCTCTCCCCACCCTTGTTCTTGTATATAACATTACTTGAATACAGAATTGTTCATTTGTGATGTTTTGCACTCGATATTAAAAAAAAAAAATTCAAAATTAAAATTAAAAAGAGAAAACGACAAACTGCAACTGGTGCGAGTATGGGGTGTGAAAGTTATACCACAGAAAAATGTATGTCATCACATGCATGGTGCGGAACCTGCTGTTTGATCTATTTATTGTGCCGTGTTTACAGAGGTTTTCCCCCCACATTCATTAAAAAAATTATTATTTTTTTTTTAAATACACTGTATCCTTCATCAGTTCCCTGTGCTGTAGTAAGTGTTTAGGTAGATTTATACAAAAAAAGAAGTCCCCACTATTTTTTTTTTTTTTCCTTCCTTTTTGGATGTTGTGAACATGGCCGGGGGCTCACCCGTTTTTGTTGGGTGTTCCCATGTGTCTGTTTAAATCCACGCAGACGTGTGTTTGTTAAAGATTCAGGCGCAGGGCAGTAGGAGATGTGTATTTAGCCCTTTTCAGACGTGATGTGAAGCATTCGGCTCAATCAGTCTCTTAAATTGACGGCACTGTCGTTCAGAATTCACTCACACACATCCGGGGGGTCTGCTGTTGTTGCCACGCGTACCAAGAACTTATTACATTTGTGGTGATTAGTATTGTGTGAGGTGCAGCCCGCGCTTCTGAATGTTTCTTTGACCAAGATCTGTGGGTGCTGCTGACTGTGCTGTACCCACCTGCCCCTTGCACACAAGCCGAGGGCTTTTCTGAATCAGGAGCAGCTAAAATACATCATAGATAAATGTTTTAGTCTAGTTTCAAATCTAAATCAAAGTTGAAATGTTATTGTTGTGTAACGCAGCTCACAGAGACGCAGGGGAATCGCGCACAGATGCGATCTAGTGCGAGCTCATTCGTTGACGTGACTTAACGCAATCAGACGAGCTAAAGTGGCCAGTGAATGTCACTGAGACACCAACACGTTCAGATGCCGTCAGATTAATTGAAATGTCTGAAAGGGGCTTTTGTTTGTTTGTAGGCATCAGTTTGTCAGTGGGTAAATCAGTCTCCACAAAGCTCTTCCATACATGTTATTCCTGAGACAAGTAACAAAACAATGGGGATGAAGACTTTCCCAGAAGACTTTGCTGCTTCTGACTTATCTAAGCACTATATATTATAATTTTTTCTTTTTTTAATTAATGCTGCTTTTGTATGATTTTTGGCGTCTGGTTTCTACCAGATGGCCTTAGTAACTTTTAGTTTTCTCTAAAGGATAATCCCCCTCCCCCTTTTTTTTTTTTTTTTTTTTTTTTTTTTTTTTTTTTTTTTTTTTTTTTTAAAACAAATATTTTTGTATCTCCCTTCTCCTTTATTTTCCCATGAAAGACTTCATTCTTTTGTTACTTGTTCTGGAAAAAAAAGAAACTATAAGGGAGTAATTTAAAAAAAAAAAAAAATGCAGTAACTGACATTTATTATCATTCCAGCTTCTGTATAATAAGGAACATGTATCAATTGAGAGAAGAAAAAAAAGAAATGAAACAGTTTTCTCTACTTTTAAAAACTCCAGAAGGCTGAAAGGCCATGAACCACAAGTTATCGGGTGCCTTCATTTGGGAAAAAAGAAAAAAAAAAAAAAAAACTTTTAAAAAAAATCAATAAAACAAAAAAAATCACTCTCTTCTGTGAAGAGTTTGGTACTGAACAAGGCTACGTGTAGTTTTTCTTTGTCTGTACCACAAGCCCAATGCCCATTCCAATGGCCCAGTTGATTCATGATTTTTTTTGTTTCCCTTTTGTTTTTGTAAACCCTTCCACCACACACACTCACACACATGGGAAAGACTTAAGAATCCTCTTGAATTGTCACAAAATGAAATAAAAATCCAGGGCATTATGTGTTTCGACCAACATGTCTCCTTTGTTTTTGTTACTTTAATGGTTTCGTTGCGTCTTTGTGTGAAGCAGCTTCAGTTTAGGAGCCAAATTTGATCTCAGGTGGGCCGGACAAGACAAACTGTGTAATCCTCCTACGTGTGAACATTTAATGAACCGTCCAATTCCTCATGCAAACTAGATGAACACCCTGAGAGAAAGAACTAAAGAGCAACCCGACTTTTTCCTTTGTTTAAAGTAGTGTAGATTCAGTGGGTTCCAAAGCGTGGGCTGTGAAGCTGCTGCAGGTGGGCCGCAAGAACTGATTTGTATTATTTACTTTGAAACAAGCTTTTATAACTGATAGATGTTTTACTTAAACTCTTATGTTTGCCAACAGACTGCAGAAGTTGCTGGGGGCATTCATCATCCCTAAATGCAGCACGTGGTAGTGGTGAAGTTAAAGTTATGACCACTTTGTAGTCTTTCTACTGCTGTGGTTTAGTGTTTTACTGCTGGCAGTAAACAAATCCTAACCAACAGCTAATCTTATGTGATAATCAAAGACTGGGGATGAATTCTGCTGATGTTTTTAGTGATCCAGGGCGATGCAAACTTCTCGTTTGGCCTTACAGAAAGCATCTCTGAGGGGCTTGTTACTGGCAGCCCACAGATGCAGTCTACTGTGAATTTCTTCCCACTGATTTTTGTGTAGCTGAAAACACTACGTATGTTCGTAAACTGGTGAAATGTGGGATGATTAAGTAGCACCAGCACGGTGGTGTTGGAGCTATCGAAGGACTGGAAAGAGTTGGAAAACTGAAGTTTGACTGTCCTCAATCATATCCTGTCATAAGGATATAATCTTTAAACTTGAAACTTTTATTACCATGGCACCAGAAACTGATTGTTTTTAAAAGGAATTTGGACTAAAAATGAGTTCTTAAGGTGATATTCTTGTTTTTCTTTTTTCCATTAAAAATAGTTTCATTCAGCTACATAATGAGAGGCGGTTAACTTGCTTTAACCAATGACTTCTGCAGAATTGGGTTTAAATGATCACTATATGTTATGACATTATGATATAAAAATGGAAACATTGAATACTCCCACTTCAGCTACTTGATCCAGTTTCATGAGAAGGATTAGTAAAGTGTCCTGCTATATTTATCCCTTTGATCATGGATGTCAAACTCATTTTACATTTTCTAAAGATGTCCAGTGGGCCGGATTAGAGTCTTGGCCTGGCCGATTCTGGCCCACAGGCTTTATGTTTGACACCCCTGCTGCAGCTGGAAGAAGGCTGGCAGCTGCTCCTTCCACACATTTTATAGCCAGTGGTTTATGAAACTGCTGACTCAGCACTTTCATTAAAGTGTTTAAGTGATACAACTTTAAAATGCATAAAGCTAGTTTTCAAAATGCTTGCACAGTAGCAGCCTGCAGTGACATGAGCCTTAATATGATATATTTTTCATTAAACACTTTTCCAAAAGACTCACTCAGAAATTAATATTAAATTTAAAAAAGATCAATTCCTCTTCCTCTAAGAAGTCGCTGGTGACATTTATCCATTTTGGTTTGTACAAGAGGAAAAAGTGAAGGGACGAAAATAATCCAACCTGTAAAATGTCTACATATATATTTTTACTATCTATTGTGTAGCAGAATAAGAGGAGTGTCACTCTGTTCCCTTATGTATTATTGAGCTATAATCCATAGTTTTAATGTTGCGACTGCAGAACGTGAAGCCACCTTTCCCTTTTTTTCAAGCTGAAGCTGCACCATGTTATCATCCTGGGACACTATATGTTGCTGTTCAGTTTTCCGTCTCCTGCGTCGTCCTTTGGCAGCGATGCTCTGACGCAGCAGCCGCTGCAGTCCTCTATGGTCCTCTATCAAAGACCTGCAAAGCCTGCAGCAGGAGGCTGGAAGCGTGGCAGCGCAGGTTTGTCAGCCAGGAGATGCTGATTCCTGCCCCCGTGAGACCGTTTTACAGTTTGTTTGGCTTTTTTTTTTAAAACACTTGCTGATTTATTTTCTCTTTCACTTTTACTCACTGGCTAGTTTTAGCCACTAAAGATGACCTGATTAGTTTTGGGTAAAAACATGCACCCTCATTAGAGTAATCGTGCTTTTTAACAAACATTCAGATCTCTCTCAATGATGCCATAACATCGTCCCTCAGGTCAAATATTACCAAAGAAATGGGGGAGGTTTGAGTTCCAAGCATGGCGTCTGTGAGTCACAGAGAGGTTTACAGATGGTGGAGATTTCCTCAGATTTCAAGACAACACCACAGCACCCAGTAGTGACTGACCCTAACCCTCTCTTCCATCTGGTTTAGGGTTTATGATTTGACACCACCAGTGTCTGTTAGGCCTGTCTTAGAGAACTGGCTTCAGCTGACATAAACCCAAGCAAAATTATCTGAGCAGAGATGCCCAGATCGCCCTCCTTTCAGCCTCCTCTTCTAGTGAAATACAGACCCAGCTGAGAGAAATAACTGCTGCTGGGACTCATACCCAAAACACCTCACCTTAGAGCCTTCCAGCATGAATCCTGCTCAGATATCCAGACCATATCAGCTGACTTGTGTCTGTGTTGAGCTTTCCCCTGAGCCCCCTCATAATCACCTAAAACCTCACCCTACCTGTGCAGCAGAGCCCCGACGTTATAATTATAACAGCTTTTAATTCCACTTTTCTTCTGATCACACAAACTGTGGTTCAAGTCTTCAGTTCCTCTAAAAATAACAGCCAGCTTTACAGGTATCCACCCTCCCCAAACCGCTGCATTTACTGTAAGGTGACTGTGCCCTGATGAACCGGTTTAGTTCTCTTTGTGCCTCATGCCCACGTGTGTCCCTTTTATTCATTGACTGAATAACAGGCAGAGGACCCTGAGCCGTGTTTTGGTGTTTAAAGCTGAAAATAAAGCAGCGTGAGTGGGTGTAGTGAGCGTAGGTCATGAAGTGTTTTTCACCGGGTTTTTTTCCACATCAAGGTGGCTCACAACTAAAACGCACGGAAAAAGTACTGCAGCACACACACAGTTTTTAAATCAAAGTTTGGGCAAACATACATTTATTTTCCCCTGCAAAAAAAAGAAAAAGAGGCCATCCAGACATAGTGTTGCTGTTTACTCGTGGCTTCTATTCACTGCAGCAATTTGGGCAGGATAAGCGATGACATTTAAATGTAAATTCTACTTCTTAGAGAGGGAAAAGCAAAGTCGATAAGAGCTGCAAAGTAAATGAGCACAGCGGAGTCTAACTCCCAGAGAGAGATTGCCTTTGCTGTGCGACTGACTTGATCATATTTAGATCTTTCTCCTGTAATTGCTTGTTTCAAAAAGATAGAAAGTGATGAAGTGTAAATGCAAGACAGTTTTAGGGACGTGACCTGATACTGGGTCTCGGAAAAGTGCTGCCGATTTCGCTTTTAGTTCAAAGTAAATGCGCTGAAAGTGGTTAATGTGGCTGAAATCAAAGTTTTAATGCGGAGGTTCAGCAAAATGCAGAGAAATAAAAGTGAAAGAATGGAAAGGCAAAGAGTCGGGATGTTAGTGGGAGGCTGGCTTTATCTGTGAGAAGAGGTTAGTGCAAGTTTGCACAAAAAGATTCATTTCAGCTTGAGGATAAAGGCACAGGACGTACTCAGATTGGTCCATTGTGTGAAGCCAGTGCTAATTTTATTCTAAGAATAGTCTACTGCAGGGGTGTCAAACATAAGGCCAAGGGGCCAGAATTGGACCCAGAAGAGTCTAATTTGGCCCACTGGACGGCTTTGGAAGAAGTAAAGGAGGAAATAAATTCTTCCTGCTGATAGAGACTTGTCCCACAGCCATTCTTACTACACCAAAGCAATTAAGTAACAGATAAACAATTAAATAATATAAAGTTTCCTGT